CATTCACATCAGTCTCTGCTCTCAAGGAGCTTACAGTCTAAGCTTCCTATCTCATATCCATCCAGGGGCCAATTTAGACAGGAGCCAATGAACCTATCAGCATGTCCTTGGAGTGTGAGAGGAAACTGGAGTACCCAGAGGAAACCGACGCAAGCACAGGGAGAACATGCAAACTCCTTTATAGATAGTGACCTGGCCGGGATTCATACAAGGGACTCTCAGTGCTGCAAGGCAGAAGCGTTAACCACTACACCACTGTGGCTGGACTGAATGAAAAAAATATTAACAGTCGTTAAAATAGTGTTTCTTTCATGTTTTGGATTTAAACTGCTTGAACTTAAACTTCTGTTCTAGTTCTAATGCCAAACCTTTGTATATTATTGGATTTGTACACCACTTTTCTTTGCCTGCAGTACATTTTGAACTTCCTCCAAGTGGTGTCACAAGCGGGGCGCGGACCGCAACCGGGTGACAGCATTGGAGGGTCAGGAGAGAGGAGGGCACCCGGCAGCATACCTCATCCTGCCGTGTGACTGTCCCCTCCTCTCTCTGCCAGCGTCCATCACCAAGATTGACCGCCAGCAGGCGTCAATTAGATGACAGAGCATGTGCGATGACGTCACGGCGGGCTGTCACCCAGTCTTCACTCCGGGTGACGCCTTCTCCCTTTCTTCTTACTTTGCTTCTATTTGTCTCCCGCTCTCATTCTGCGTATCCTGTTACAGGGCCACAATCACTTTGAAGGATTTATGTGCAATAGCTCCTTTGAGTTGCAGCCCTATTATAAAGATAGACACTTGTGGTTTATTATTATGTCTCTTCCACTTCTCTGAGTCGTCTACGGGCTCTGTAAATGGGTGTTTTGGTGTATTTGTTAACAGAAAATAAAACAAAGAGTTAACCATAAGATGGTGATGCTCTGTTCACTGAGTGCATTCATAAGAAATGTGGTATAACAGTGATGGTTTATAAAGTCTTAAAGTTGAATTATATAGATTCACATTGTGTGCACCAAATGCCTTTTAAACCCCATTTATTACCTTGAAAAAGTAGCAGTGAAATCATCACTGTGCTGTAAATAGCCTGAGCAGAGAGCAGAGCTGTGGGAGGGACCCTGCAGGCCCCACCCACTAGAGGCTGACTGCTGAAAACTTCAAGACCAGTCACCCTGCACAAGTAGAAAGATCAGCAGTGGCTGGTCTTTATTACAGGAAGCTCCTACACAGAGAAAAAATGTCACACTGGATCACTGCACAGATCTGGAAGTAATACACAACACTCACCAGAACACACATGGTTCTTGTATTTAGACACAATTTGCTTATTCCAGAGTTCAGCTTTAAATAATTGGGGTTGGTCTCTTAAAACTAGAACTGTAATTAGTTGCTATAGACCAGGGCTGAGCAACCTCTGCACTCCAGCTGTAGTAAAACTACAAGTCACATGAGGCATTGCAAGTCTCAGGCATGACTCGCAGAGGCATGATGGGATTTGTATTTTCTGCACAGCTGGAGTGCCCAGGTTGCCTAACCCGGCAATATGCAATACCCTTCTTTTTTTCTTCAGTTTTGATAAATCCGAGCTTGCATGCTCTTATATGTAGCTTATACTTTTCAGATGACAACTAATTCTGGCTAACCGCTAACCCAGCTATTGGATTTCTAACAGTAAGTTACTTGTTTTTGATATTGCTCCCCTTGGAATCAGAACCTGAGCTTACAATAATTTCCATATTTGCATCTATAATCTCTACATGAATGTTTATTAGTAGCACCATTGACGGAATAGACGATTGAGAACCAGTTTTCTTCTTTTGGTATTGAGGTTTCAATGTGTTTTCCTTGGAATGTGCTGCAGCATGTAATAATGATTCAGTGACACTCGGTTATATTCATACATTAAAGTGTAATGATGTACGACACTACAGTGTGTGGGTAACGAGCATCAACCAGTTCTGTGTGACTCTATGCTGACATGATGTGACATCTCAGCATCAGGGAACACAGCAGTGAAGGAACCGGAGAATAAAAGAGTCCATTAATTCATTGCATTATAGGATTACACTGTCCTTATGAAAACTTGGATGATGGCGGCCTAAACTTGAAACACCTTCTATGCTTTTAAAGGAGCCACATTGGATTATTAAACCAGTATTGTACACACAATGCAAAGAGAACTGTGCAATGTGCATGAGCCTGTCCTGACCTGCCAGCAGTCCTCTGTAATTTTTCTTTCACAAAGACCAATGAAAGCCCCAAACCAATGAACTGAGAGCTATTAATAATGGTGCTTGTTCAACAAGACAACATGATAGGGGGAGGCAACCTCGGCACCCTGGCTGTTCTGGAACTACAAGTTGCACAAGCTGTTATTTAAAAGATTTATGTGTTGCCCTCAAAGCCATATGAAAAGACCCTCACACCGCTCTATGTTTAATTTTTAATTTTGTTTATAATTGGTACATATTGGTCCCCATGACAGCGCATACCCCTTTTTTTATTTACAGTTGTTTGCCTATCAGCCTTAAATATGGCCAGAATTTATTAACAGGGTTAGACTCTACTCTCTCCTCTTAGTGTCAAGACTTCTGATCATTTAATGCAGCCTGTCAGCTGCTCTTGCTCTTATGCTCCAGGCAGGCCCGGCGCTACCGCAAGGCAAGGCAAGCGGCCGCCTGAGGGCGCTGCAGGGTGAGTACTTGTACTTGTCAAAATGCCCCGATGCTTGCGCTATGTTTTTTTTTCACTTACCTTCGGTGCGGGAGAGCAGCCGTGTGTCAGTGCTGGTTCGTTGGGAGGAGCTCCAGGTGGGGTCCTAATTTAGCTGGCCAACGACTGCCAGAGGATCCCGACACGCGCGGCACCTCTGGCAGTCGCCGGCCAGCTAAATTAGGACCCCCACCTGGAGCTCCTCCCACCGGACCAGCGCTGACTCGCCGCTGCTCTCCCGCACCGAAGGTAAGTGAAGAAAAAATATTTATTTTTTTAAACTACGCAGAGCCCCAAAACTAAGTGAAGAAAAAAAAAACATTTTTTAAAAAACTACGCAGAGCCCTAAAACCAAATCAAAACAACAAAGCTGTAAGGAACAAAAAAGAAAAAAAGAGGATGGTGTGCGGAGGAGGGGGAATTAAGGAAGAGGGGAAGGGGACAGCAGCCAAAAACGTAAAATACACAAAAAAAAACACAATCACACAAATCCCATTCGACCCAGAAGCACACTTTTTTTTTTATTTACAAAGCCTTCTTTTTCTTTTTTTCTTATTTTACTAAATGCAGCTTACATGCTGATAGGGAGCAGGCCCAGCGCTACAAGGGGTCCGGGAGGGGATCGGGGGGAGGGTGCGCAAAAATGCACCCTCGCCTGTGTAGGCAAAAATCCTAGCAACGGCCCTGGCTCCAGGGCTGTCTTACTTAAAGTGTATTGAAAGGAAAATCTTAGGGAAGACATAGGGAGTAGGAAAGGGTTAGAACCCCCATACGGTTCTATTTTTATTGCTGTCTGTTTCACTGCTGGGGAATTGCACTCTCTTTGTTGGTCCTACTGGAGTTGTAACTGGAAAAAAGGTGATGTCTTCCAACAGGGATAACAACAACAACAAAAATAGGTTATACTTAAAATCATAAGTTTATTATGTAACAAAAAAATATTAAAACAATCTAATAACGTTAACAATTGATCGAATATGGCAGAATCTCATTCTGAAGCATTGGACTTACAATACCTCTGACAGCCATTCTTGGTACCCTCTGTTTAGTGTATGTATGTGTGTGTGTGTGTGTATATATATATATATATAAATAGAGAGTGTTGTAACTTTTTGTGTTTCATACAATATATATACCGTATATGGTCTTTTAAATAAAAATGATGGTAACCCATCAATCCGATATAAAGGGGGGAATTTATCAAAGCTGGAGCAGACCGAATCTGGAGCAGTTTTCCATGGCAACCAATCAGTTTCTCTCTTCAGTTTGCTTAGGTAAGATTTGAAAACGAGACAGAGAAGCTGATTGGTTGCAGTGCGAATCTGCTCCACATTTTGTCTGCTCCAGTTTTGATAAATTCCCCTGAAAGTGTTTATTATAATTTAACCTTGCTTTACTGTTTAATCTTTTCTCTAGAACAAGCATGCAGCCAGTGAAGTGTCAAGACTTCTGATACGCACATGTTTTGCACTTCTTTCAGCTCAGTACATCTGTAAGTGGTGACAGCAGAAAAATAAATTGCACTTTCAAAAAATCAGTGTTAGATCCCATGTTTTTTCTCTCCCAGGTTCCATTTAAAGAGTTGTTATGCCTAGGTTGCACCAGCTACCTGAGGGTCATCTGCTTACTTGTGACTCTCATCCTGCACTCACTTTATGCCGACCAATGAAGGTTCCTGCACCCAGCTGAATGCCCACTACCCTAGGAGCAAGAGGGGTCCCTTCCCCGATCCTAAGAACCAGGGGTGCCATCACAGCTCCTAGTAGACAGAAGAGTGCTATCCTCCATTCTAAAAGCCAAGTGATATCCCCTATTCTAGAAGCCATGGGAGTGCCATCCCCGAGCCTAAGAGCCAGGGAGCTGCCTCCCCCTCCTCCTAAAAGCCAGCAGGTTGCCACCTCTGATCCTATGAGCTGTGGGGGTGTGTGCCATTCCGGAACCCAGGAGCCACGGGATGCCAGACCCGATCCTAGGGGCCAGAAGAGTGCCATCCCCGAACACAGGAGCCAGAGGCGGGCCAGACCCGATCCTATAGCTAGGGGGTGTGTGCCATCCCTGAACCTAGGAGCCAGCGGGGTGCCAGCCTGAGCTCCTGGCACTGACATCTTTCTGCTTGCTCTCTCAGACTGATACTCAGAGGAAGAAGCATTTTCTATATTAAACCCTCCTCCCCTCCCCGTTTTTGTGTGCACAATAGGCTCCATGCCTAATTGTGCCGGGAGGGCGTCAGTGGAGATGCCATAGAGCGACTCACCTGTTCAGTCAGTGGATGAATCGCTACGACTTGAGATCGCTGCTATTCATCGGCGGGCAGGTGGCAGATGACAGCGATGGGCATGGGATCGGAGCATGCCTAGCCGGGGAGGGCTCCAGCAATGGAGCTATGGGGGATCGTTGGCTGCTCCCTGGTGGTGCTGATGATCGTGGCTGCGCTGCTGTCCAACGGCGTGGTGCTGATCTGCTTCCTGAGCTGCTCTGACATCCGCGGCCAGGTCCCGGGCTTGTTCACACTCAACCTGACCCTCTGCAACCTGCTGCTCACTGTCATCAACATGCCACTGACCCTGGTTGGGGTCGCCCGTGGCCACCATCCCGGGGGCGAGGGTCTGTGCAGGGCTGTGGGCTTCTTGGAAACTTTCCTGACCAGTAACTCCATGCTGAGCATGGCCGCCCTGAGCATTGACCGCTGGGTGGCCGTGGTTTTCCCTCTAAACTATCACTCTAAGATGAGGTACCAGGATGCTGCCCTCATCCTCCTCTACTGCTGGATCCACTCCCTGTCCTTCCCCACCGTGGCCCTGTGCCTCTCCTGGGTGGGCTTCCACCAGGTGTATGGTTCCTGCACCCTCTACAACAAAGAACCCGAGGAAAGAGACTCCTTCATGGCTTTCATTGTGCTTTTCCACCTGCTCAGCTACCTGCTGTCCTTCCTGGTACTGTGTGTCACCTACCTGCAGGTGCTGAAGGTAGCCCGTTCCCATTGCAGGAGGATTGATGTGATCACAATGCAGACTCTGGTGCTCTTGGTGGACCTGCACCCCAGGTATTATGTGTTGGAGCTCCCTTCCATCCTGGTAACATTGAAGCTGCAGAGTTTACAGCACTGGGGAAAGGGGGGTACATTGACAGATAACAGTCTAATATATAATGCTGTCCATTCTCATATTGGTCCGATCATTTCATGATTGATTAGATTAGGTAGAGATATTGGTATTCAGAATAAACTAACTTGGGTGCAGATCATGTAGCATGAACATAGGGATTCACAGAAGTAGCATTCAGTTGCATTTAGCTTTAATGTTCTCCAAATCTCTCCACTTCACTGTCAGTGAGCATTTAAGTGTATCTGAACCCAAAACCTAAAAACAAAAATGTAATTTATTGCAGATTACCAGTCCTTAGATGGGATGGCTTCATTATTTCCTTTTTAGGCTAAGAACATTTCAGCAAGTACAGAAAATACCTGTTGATCTTGCCAGAAATGCCATGTCCTTTTATTTCCTGATTTCCTGATAGCTGAAAAGACAGCAAAAACAATGTTATATTACTGGTCCCATCAATCCTCCATATACAAAGCCATACATGTTTGATGTTCAGCTTGTGGTTTAACAATCATGGCTGCCGCCATAGATAATCATGGAGAAGTGAGTGTTGGCACAAAAGTGACAAGAAGTGTGTTATTCCCATTAAAATAAAGGGGGGAATCTAATGAGTTTTGGCAACGAGATGTAGATGAGCGTCTTTCATCCTACTTATGATTTTATGTCCTGACTTCCGGTTACTCGATCATTAGCTGATAAGGGACTCTCAAAAGGAAGATATAGCTCTGGAAGGCGTCAATGTATAGAGGATAAAGATCTCTGCACGAACTCCCTACCCTCTTCCCTCTTCCCCTCCTTTTTCTTTTTTTTTTTTTTTTCTTTTTTCTTTCTTTTCTTTCTTTTTTTTTTTTTCCTTTCTTTATATTGTGAGTTTGTGAACCCTCCCTGTTTCGTTGTTTGTTGGACCACACATACCATAGGCTCTTGTATCTGGTAACAATATGGAGACAGGAAGGATGTAATAAATTAATTGAAGAAAAAATTATAGCAATATGAGTATGTCATATAAGCGATGTTAACACCCGAAGTGTACGGGACGGTTCAATAATTGTGTAAATGTCTATCAATTTATAATAATAAAAATTAAATATTTTAAAAAAAAAATAAAGGGGGGAAAAGCTTAAAAAATAAGAATGAATGCAGCCACCACATCCGAGGACTAGAAATCTGCAATATATGATATTTTATTCTTTGGTTTAGATACAGTTCAAAAGCAATGTCTTAATGCTTACTTCTGCAAATTCACGAGAGAGCCTCATCTCTACATTCATAAATCTACCAATTATTGATTGGATGGGTTAGAAAGTTCCGATGGTATCAGGAGGAATCATTAAATTCAGGAATAATCACATTTTCGATTTCTGCTCACTTTTTTCAATCAAAGTTTCACATTGAAGGTGATTGGATTGATGCAGGTAAACTTACTGCTTTGTGTTGCATAGAACGATCATCTCAGATATCCAGCTGACTGAGCCTGGGTTCACGTGTATTGCAGTGCATTGTGTCCAAAGACCTGTAGCACTCCTTACCGGAACTCCCAAGTGTATGTAGAGGGTGCTCGCAGTTACTGCGGATGGCGCCGCATTCAGTATAATCAAGTGTAGGAACGTCACCAGCACACCAACACGACAACGACTCAAACGTCAGTAAGAATCCATTTATTGATGTCAATCATTACTATCGGTAGTAATGAGGTAAGGTGTGGTGTAAGCAAGGTAAACATCAGTAAGAATCCATTTATTGATGTCAATCATTACTATCAGGGTAGTAATGAGGTAAGGTGTGGTGTAAGCAAGGTAAGGTGTGCAACAATGCGCTGCAATCAAGTGTAGGAACGTCACCAGCACGACAACGACTCAAACGTCAGTAAGAATCCATTTATTGATGTCAATCATTACTATCAGTACCTTGCCTTGCTTAGTGTTAGATCTGGCTACTGCATTTATACTGCCTCAAAAGAAGCGCATGACCCATTTTTATAAATGGCATTGCACCACAAGGTATGGTAATAAGTTTGCTATGCATTGTAGTGTGATGGATAGGTGCTTTGAACGATGTGAGAACGCGTGTTCCAGCATCGCATACATGTGAACAGGGGCTCAATCTATTATATCGAACAGTCGGCCACATTACAAAGGACTGCAAGAATGGTCAGCATAATGGTGGAGCAGACTAGGTTTTTGCCTATGGAAACAGGCTTGTGGATAGTCATAAGATGTTTCATCACAATTGTTGCTTGCATTGTGCAGCCCACACACAGAACTACAAACAAGCGCTCGATCAAAGGTTTGATTGTTTCAAACAACCTTATACTCAAAAACAATTGTTTGACACACCAAAGAAAAACATTGGTCAAACCTGATTGGATTTTCCATCCTGATCAATCATGACTTTTTGATGAAAAAGATCAACAAATGTAGATCACAGCAGTCATTTATCTGTATGATATGTTGCGCTCATCTAAACACTATGTTGAATGATTGTTGTGTGTTGTCATGTGTATGTCTAGTATCAAAGTGTCTTAAGCACCCTGCTGTCTTTAGCATCTACTTACTTTATGGTTATTAGAAGGAAATGATCTGTGATGAGGACCTGTCATCTCTGACTGTCTACACAATTGTATGTACAAAGCCGCGACAACCAATCAGCAGTCATCCGAAGGCTGACATCCGGCTGCTGTAAATGGTTTCACATCACAACTCCTATTAGTAAAGTTCGAACATTCAATAAGCTGGTGTGGAGAGAAGCGTAATGTGCTGGTAAATAATAGCAGACAATCACATTTTGCTTTTCCCTAGTCAGGCCAGTGAAATATTTGGTGATTGGTTGCTCTGGGTTGTTATGCAAAACTACTCCGGGAATGAGTGATGCCCATGGTAACCTATCCAAACTTACCCAGTTATCAAATAGCTGCTAAATCCTGGCTATTGACAGCACACCTTTCCTTTCCTTTAGGATTCAATCATTGTGTCATTTCAAGTACTGATTTTTATTTTTTTTATTTATTTTAATTAATTAATTTTTATTTCATGTATTTAGTTTTATTTATGTATTCAGTTTTTTGTGTATTTATTTTTATATTATGTATTTATTTATATATTTATTTATTTAAACGTTCCTGCCCACAGCTGCACCTAATCAAGGGACGGGTTGCAGTGATGTCACTGACCTTATATAACCACATGACTATATTTGGTCAATGATTTTTACCTAGTATGGCCATGTCTCCATATAAGGTCATTGACATCAGCACACGTATCTCGCCCCTTCGTTGGTGTTCAGCTGAGGGGTGGGGAATGCCCCAGCCCACAGCTGGTTAGACAGGTGGCCTGAGGGCACTTGTGGGGTTAGGGGAGCTCAGTTTCAGACCGGATACAGTCCCAACCTGAGCTCACACCTATTGAGGAATATATTTGAATGTACGTTTTTTTTATGTCTTGAGTGCAGCTTTAGAGTAATTTCAAGACATGGTCATGAGGTATACATCATTATATGTGATGCCGTATTTTTTAGGTGTGAAGTTGAATGAACACATGACTATGAAGGCTTCCTGAGGCTGACATGGAGTACAGTATTTAGATCCTAGCTGGATGGACTTTGCAAAACAGATGTATTAATGATAGAACGGATGGCTGGATTACATTGCTTGGCACTGACTTGGCTGTTATATCAGGTCATAAGGACATGGACCAATTGTATCAGCAGATGTCAATCCAGACAAATGCGTATTCCTGTGCGGGGGGAAAAACAAACCATAAAACACTGTTTCTGAGTTGATTTCTGTTTTGCTCATTTATCTTTTTAAAGAGAATCTATAATGTATTTTCAGCAAGTGCACAGTTTATGCTATTAGTGTTTATTTGAATTTACTTCCTCCTGCTGTTCCGTATTTTACATACTGTATGCCATGGAGTGTTACTTTTTTATTAGTTTTAAGTAGAAACTGGAAGGGTAAGAACTAGGGATGCACCGATACCAGTTCCGATACTAGTGCCGATACTTGGCATATTCATGAGAACTACCAGGGTTGCAGCGGTTGCAGCTGGGACCTGGCTCTGGCACTCCACCACCGTCCTGAAATCATTAGTCTGTATTGTTTTAGAAAAACTGTCACATGACAGAAGCATAAATGTATCAGTACTTGTACTTGCAAAAATGGTATCGGTGCGTCCCTTTTATATATGTTTATAAAAACTAAATCGTACATTAAAACAGAGATGTACAAATCCCAGGAGCTCCGTTTGCTCCTTACAAATGACAGCTGCCTCCCAACTTTTCAATTTTTCTCTAGTCTAGTCTTGGAGCTGGAAAAGTATCTGTACTTGTACCGAGTATGGTACTTGGTATCGGTGCATCCCTAGTTAGAACCCCTGTTGGGGATTTATTTCTGTCTCTGTTGGGAGATTTCCTCTCATATCCTGTCAGGGAAGGAAGTGATGGCCTATATAATACCAATGGGGACAAAAGCATATTTTTAGCTGCGAGGTGAAGAGTTTAAATTTCAAAATGTTTTGTTTTTTTTGCTGTCTGTTTCTTTTTGTCCTGGTGACACCTATACGCTCTATTTCATATATGGACATTCTCGGGGATAGGAAGTGAGGGAAAGTCTCTCCAATCAGGTCACAGACAGAAGTAAAAACCTCACAGAAATTTTAACATTTTTAAAATTACCATCCCCAGATCTGCTTGGTGGAGGCTCAAGACAGCCCTGCATACTATGCATATAGAACTTTGCCCTGTTTTAGTGAATAAGTCCAGAAATTCACAGAGCCCCCACACTCTCTTTAATGGTAACATGCATGTGCATACTCACGGGCTTTTCTCTAAAGATTGCTCAGTATTAGGAATGTGCATGCAATCTACATCTATGGCCAGCTAATGTGCAGCTGCATCCTCGGCATGCCTTATTGTTTGCATTTCAGGACTTCTTTGCAAACAGTATTGTTTTATTCAGTATGCCGCAAAAGCTGAGCTTTGTCCCTTTATTCTGTGTACCACAGTGTGAGGCAGAGATGTCTGGAGGAGCAGAAGAGGAGAAGGCAAAGAGCCACCAAGAAAATCATCACATTTATTGGAACGTTTCTGCTTTGTTTTACTCCATATGTAGTCACCAGGTAAGTGACAAGCCTGAATTAGCCTTCTTATTCGTTCATTATAGTTCATACACAATGTGACTATATTTGTATATATTAAAGCAGATCTATGGCCTCCTATTAAAACAAGATATGAGCTGCAGCACTTACAGGGCATTTGCAATTAGAGTTTTCACGTAGTTCCCCTGCAATGTCCCACAGATAGCTGACAGTGAAATGAACCAAATGCAGATTCCTGTGATGGGGTGGCACTTCTGCTTCTGAATTCAGAGCAGAGTTGTCTTCTTCGTGTGCGCTGTTTATGCTTGTACTATATTGGAAGAAGAGAAAGTTGTAAGTAGCATCGTCACTGATGATTTGCAAGCCTGTAGCACTGACTCTGCTGCTGAAACCCTGAGTTGCTGGAAGGAGTGTGCAGGCAGCACACTCCTTCCAGCAACTCCGGGGCCATCAACAACCATTCCTTTATGCTGTATGGAGCAACACTCCTGTGCGAATTAGGGCTTTAGCTTGCTTTTCTTGGATCCAGTGTTTGCCTGACACCAGGGGCACAATCTGCATGGAGTGTTTGTGTTATACTTTCATTTGCCTTGCTGGGCTCCTGTACTCTCTTGGAACCAGGAACATAATTTGCATGGAGTATGCATCTTCAGCCTGATGCTTTGGTTTCCTTCTACACTCTAAGACATACCTAGGATGATCAGCTGGATTCTGTGAGTGTGCTTAAATGACTCTGGTAGGGGCATTAGACTGTATTTTCCTTAAGGCAAAGACCAGTGTAGGTTCAGTATACACTGGAAAGCACAGCAGTATATTGCTGCCATATTAACATATTAAACTGAATAATTGGTGATTTTCTGTGATGCTTTCCGATTTTAAAGATTTTCCAACCTGTCCAACTCTATCTTTCATTTGGTTTGTGGTTCTCTAAGGAAGTATTGTGTACAATGAGCTCAGAAACACCATGTCCAGACCATGTTCCTCTTTAGTCGACTAGTGCCCTAGTAACCAATGATGTCAGGGGTGTTCCTCCTCTGCAGTCATTGGTTGCTAGGACCACTAGGCTTGGTTCAGTCCCAATTTCTCATGTGGCCCCTTGAGAAAATGAATTACCCACCCCTGCCATAGACTAAGCAAAGTATTTTCATGTCACCCTTAAGACCACTGTAGAACCATATCTGATGGTGATTCTCATGGAGATTTATTTTCTTAAAAAATATATATATTCACTCTATTTCTTGGGTCTCAACGTACCACTTTTCCCAAAGTATGACGCACACTGCCACTTGTGCATCCTCCTCTAAGAGTTATATAAAATGTTTTCCTTTTATTTACATATCTAATGGTGAGTTTACAGATGGAGGTCTATTTGTTAGCACACTTCTCAGGCTCACATGCAACTGAGCTAAACATGCTTCTCCAGGAATGCTGGGAGCCTGTTTACCCAATTATCAGAAAGGTTTATAGCTTTTCTGGGTCTCGTTATGTATCTGTTATTTCAAGCAGGTCTACAAATGGCCTGAGGATCCCATTCAGTGGTGGAGGATGGATGACGAAGCTCAGTTCCTGAAAGTGGTGTCATTTCTGTAACAGAATGGCATCAAGACGTTGACCAATGTCAGCCCCCAGCAGTGGATGGGAGCCTCAGCTGTGGTAGATGACAGCCATCCACCCAGATCCCCTTCAGTGACAGAAAAGTTACTATATCTCAGGAAGTTCACTAATCATGCCTGTATTTTATCTTTACACTAGAGACCTGTGCTAAGTAAGAGCATTCCTCCATGTTCATTCCCAATCACCATTGTTTGCCCTAGAAAACTAATTATGCGTGCCTCGCTTATGTATGCTGAGAGCTGTCTGCATAGTACATTTAGGGCTCATGTGTTATCAGTATGAGGTGCAGACACTGTTTGCAAGTTTGCAAATTTAGTTTGGCTGTTAAATCATTAACAATATTCTGAAACTTGTTCCTCTTATTTTCAGTAGCTGCAGTTTATAAAAAAAAAAAAAAACTGTTGTTGGACATTTATTTAGATGAATATAATAAATAATAGTGACATGCTTTCCTTTGAGGTGTATGTAAACCCAAACAATACACTTCTCTTACACTGCACAATACACTGCTACCTTTTGGTCTGTTAAATATACCATTGGAATTGTGTATCTGTTTGTTAAGACCATGGAAATACCACGCTGATCACATCAGAAATTACTGTCCTGTGCATACTTCCTGTGTTATCTCAAGGAGGATAATTAGCCCTCCTAGTTCTAATCCTGGAACTACAGAATAATTAGTGTGTGTGTTGTAGAGATGGGTGGTATGTAAGGGTTTGAGTAGTTTAGTGAAAGAAAACCGTGCAGGGCTGACACCACTCAGTACACAAAAATCCTGTATGTTGACAGCCATCAAAAGGATTTAGGAGCTGAGTGCATTTCTGACGGGTCACACATATGTTTAATACTGTGCAGAGTCTTTAAAGGGATAAATTATGGGGAAATTGGTATTTATTGCAAAGGGGTACTGCATGTTTTTTTTTATTATTATGATTGTTTTGCCCTGATATTCACTTTAATAGTAGAAGGTTTGTTGTGTCCTAGCAGTATAACATCCTGATTATGTAAGCTGCATTTACTGCCATGGAAGGGGAAGTTTTTATGACCTGGCATTCAATCAGTGTATTAAAACCTACATATTTAACTCATTTAACCAAGATTTTTGTGATGTTTGGCCCAAGCCACAGTACACATTCAGACAAACAAGTAACTAGGTGGTATTGACATCACTGTAGCAGGTATGTTGGATCCTGAGCAAGTATACATGTGCTTCCCATCAGTTTATTAAATATTTGGGACACCACCGTTAACTTATCCTTGGGCTGCATTCTTAGTAATACTTGTATATGAAGATATTGTTTGCCTGTGTGTAGTGCTCACATGTACAAATTTCTACGAATGTGACAAACAAACTGTTTTTTACTTTACAGGCTGGTCGAGATTTCCTCCGCTACCACCATAAGTCCTCAGTGGGGCATCATAAGTCGATATTTGGCCTACAGTAAGGCTTTGTCGGATCCATTTGTGTATTGCTTATTACGGAACCAGTATAAGAGCTGCTGTCGAGACATAGTCAACAAACTTTTGAAACGCAGCTCTGGCAATTCCTCTGCTGGAAGGGTCAACTCTTATGTGGGACATTTGGTGCCAGCCACCTCCGAATAAATAACCTCATGGAACTACAAAAATCCTCTTTGCCAGGCAGGCACATGTCCAGTTCCTGACAAAAATGAGAACTACTGTAAATGGGATATAATCTCTCTTTCATGTTTCTGTAATTTATTGCCTTAATTTATTTTTTAAAAGTGTGTGCTCCTTTAGGAAAAGGACCTCTCTGTGGAATATCAGTCTCAGACCCCTGACCTGTTTTCAGACCACCATAGAATAATGTCCCAGACTCGTATACCAGGATATACAGAACACAAGCACTGATCAATAATACAGATCTGCCTACTGGTACAAATTCCATTCATTTATGGATCTGTCTCTGCAGGTACTGTCTACTACTTTACTCAGAACCTTTGATGACTCTGATAATGTTGCCTGTTGACAATCGTATATGTGAGTAAAGGTCACCATTTGCTCAAAATATGTATCTTGTGGAGTTTGATATTAAATGGACTTAAAATTGTTTCTCTTACTAGACTAAATCATATTCCAATGCCTAACTTATACAAAAGGAGTAAACAGCATATTGCAGAGGAAAATATGGTGGGTCTATGTTAGATTGGATTATAGTGAAAAATGGTCATCTTGATGCAGAACATGACCCACATCTCCCTCTGTTAAGCAGTCTCTGGACTGCTTATTACAATACTGAGTATTTATAGAAAAGTATACTTAGGGGTCTATTTTTATAAGCAATTTGCAGAGCCGTTCCCCTTGCAAATCTCTGTGAGAATTAATTCTGTGCGAATAAAGGCAAAAATGCAAGTTCTTAGTATATTTTCTTTCCAAGCACAATGTAATGTATTACCACATTATGGCCACTGGATGGTGCTGTGGAGCACAGGAAATAAGTATTTATAAGTATTTACTTCCTGTGCTTCTCAGCTCCATCTAGTGGCCATAATGCAGTATTGCAGTACATTATATTCAACCTGAAAAGAAACTATACTTAGAAAGTTTGTGTTTGTCACTACAGTAAATCCCCCATTATTCAAGTAACCGCCACTCTCAAGCAACCGGTAACAAAAACAAGGACAGATATGTCCTCGATTTTCTTTGCGGTTGCTTGTCAGACATCTAATTGTAAATTATTTGTTTACATGTTGCTGCCAGCCAGCAACCAGATTCCGCGGACTGCAGCAGAATGTAAACAAGGGGGAGCAAAAGCAAGCCTGCTATTGTATTTTTTAGATTACAATGCCCAGAACTTTCTCCCTCAGGTCCGCTCCTCTGCTCAGTGGGTGGGTGCAATAGCCAGCCTGCTATTGACCATTGCAATCTGAAATAGCCAATAGCAGGCTGGTTATTGCACCCGCCCACTGACCAGAGGAGCGGACCTGAGAGTGAACTTTCTATTAACTCTATTAACTCTACTCTAGTAACTCTAGTTACTATTAACTCTCAAGCAATCAGAAACTTCAGTTATCCGGCATCTACTGATCCCTGTGTGCCAGGGAGTTTACTGTATTTGCACAGAATGAACTGTCACAAAGCTTCACAGGGTGAATGGCTCTGTGAAATGATAATAAATAGACCCCTTATTCTTTGATCCAATTCTTACTTTAGAGGCAACATTAATTTAATAAAATAAGAATAATTTATGGAGCAGTTTATTGCTCCCCCTGTAGGTAGGACCTTATATTCATTTTGGGACACATCATTAGATATAAAACACGTTCTTTTTGTTTAGTTTGACAAAAATGGTGTCTCTGAAACTTTGTGCATTGCCCCTTATAGCCCAGTGTGCCTCTTGCCTACACATAATACTAGGGGTGGCTGTTTTTTTATGTTAACCAGTATTGATGAGAATACAGTCCTTCATGTACAAATATTATCAGTGTGATGCTGAAAACAGCAATACGCCATTACACCTGTTTATATAGTAACACATCAGCCAGTTAGAAAAGGTTCTTCAGTAGCCCATCAGCTGTAAGCTGTAGTGCAATGTGTTGTTAGAGGTAACTGCACGTCATTGCTATTTGCAGTGAATAATAAAACCACAAGTCATGTGCTTCAGTGATATCACTGGTTCCTAGCTGTTTAACAAGCCATGGTTTACATCTTCCCAGATGAGCCTATGAGGTCATATGCTAGCACACTGATGCTACTGTTCTTTCAATAATCCTAATAAAATGAGAGAGAGAATGGATGCATAATGTTCTAAAGTTCTTGCTCTTGACCCAAGATATTTGCTTTTACTTACCTGGAAATGTGAAAAGTAACAGAATCGAATGGCCCTATGGCTATGGTCAGTCTCACCCCCAATTATATATTAGTGCTGCACTAGAGGGCAAATTCACTGCGGTCATTATCTACATGGCCCTCAAATATATGGTAGTCGGCATAAAATAATCTGTCCTCATTATGATCAGGAATGCAGAACGAGCCAAAAACAGTTTAGAGTTCATTTGCATCGAGGATCATACAGGTCCAATTCAGTCAGATGCCAAATTTTGGATCCCCCTTGGTCAAATGACATGTTTCCTCCATATTCTAAGTCAAAAGAAGTTAATAACACACATTTTGCAAGTTATCAAGTTAAAAAAAATCTGCATATACATATACACATAATACACATTTTTCATTTGCTGAATATAATTGACTAAAAAAATTAAATTTGAAAAAAGATAAAATTTAAAGTTCACTGTCTTCAAAATTTGTGTCACTGTCTGTAGGGGTTCACGTTGCAGCAGAGTCTCTGCTGTTTGGCACCTGGGTCCCAACATTGATTCCGATTCATCTGTGCAAGCACTTCAGAATTCCCCAGAAACGCCAGACACTCTTCTAGTCCCCCTGCTGTTTTTTAGAACGAAGTGCTGGCTCACACGTTCTCAGACCTCTGTGAGTATCAGTTCCCAGTCTCCTGTGCCTGAGTCCTCCTGTTCCAGTTCTGATACTTGTTAACAACCTCTGTCTATTTCTCCATGATCCTTTCTACTGCCTGCCCTGATCTTTTGCCTGTTTTTCGATGATCCTTTCTATTCGACTGCCCTGGCCTATTTGATAATGACCTTCCCTGCCAAGTTGTAGCTAGCTTAGTTTCTGACTGCTGTCAGCTGTTGCCACTGAGTGTAAACAAGAGTGACAACCTAGGAGCCAGCTACAGCAAAGCTGGTCATCCCCTGTGGGCTGGTCTAGTGAACACCACGTGGTTCCCTGTGCCCTTTTTTGTTTTAGTGTTCAATAGAGTGGTGAAGGTTTAGAACCCCTGTGTCCCTCTGAGGGGGGTTCTACCCTCTCTGTTTGTCCCAGTGACCATTGTCACTGGGACTGAAAGTGAGGGAAAATCCAAAATGCTGAGTTATTGCCAGAACAGGTAAAATGGGAAATCAGTGATAATGACTACTGTATGTCTACAAGGTGAGATGTGAAGGGAAATCTCCCCGATTAGACACAGACAGTAAGAAGAAAAAAAGCCCTGGCAGGGGTTTAACTTTTTCTAGTATCCAAGTTGTGTCTTTAGATATACTTTAACCCTTGTGATTAGCACATCCATGGACATTAAAATAATGGCTTTATGTCTAAAAGTTCCTCTTGGCATAAAGCTGGGTGGATGTCCCTCGCATGGCACTAGCGCCCCTAGATGGTCTTATATACATGAAGCCCTAAGTGCTTCTTGATCTGAGTGAAAATGTCCAAATTGAATGACTACCTTGTGTCTGTGGCACCCTCAGAAAGCTCTGGTTGACCATTCTCTTGTGAATATGGTAGGTCGAGGATGTTGTCCATGTCCAATCACTGTTAATCCCCTGCAGATGAACTGACTCTGTGGCTGTCATACTGCAATATGTCTGATTAAAACATCTGACCAAGCTTTCTAATAAGGAATAAATCACACGCATGACTCTACCTGTAAATTTTGGGTTGAGCTATTGGTATTTAGAAATAGACTGTATGCAGACTGTAAGTGAAACCTAACTAATTATTGCTAAATATTAATATGCAGGATTCCATATTTCCTGATAAAAAAGGATTTTAAATTGTATTTGTTTAGCCCTGACCACAATAAGTCAGCATGTAAATAAACACTACACATTCCAAATATGAAAAACGGAGATTCATGACCACAGTCCGTGAATAAAGTAAAGCAGAATAGAAGTTGGATAGTCCAATCATTTAAAATGACCTCCAACTTACCCATGGTACACTTCAAAAACAAAAGACTAAGGTTTCCAAATAGCTTCACCATCCCCAGACCTGGAATGTTATTGAAAATCTTTAGCTTCATCTCAAACCTGAAGTGCACACAAGACAACTTGACAATATTTCTGAACTAGAAGCTTTTGTCATGTAAGAATGGGAATACATTCCTAAAAAAAGAACAGAAATATTGAACTGGCTACAAGAAATGTTTATAATCTGTATTTCTACCAAAGTGTGTTTGTTTTTTCTGGTTGGCGGTTGGTTACTAGGCAATGGAAGTCAGGGTGCAAAAACTATAGCTTATTTTTTTGTCCATTTCATTAAAATTTGTAGAAAGATTTTTAGGTTTGTTCCTTACAGAAATAGTTTTATCTTCTTTTCACTGAGCAAATCGTCAAAACATGTATTGTGGCCAGTGGTACCTAAAGTTTCTGCAAAAGATTGTGCTTAATTGCAGCAGTAAATGGAGATCCCATTTGTACATAGTGTAAAAAACAGGCTGCATGTTGACAACAGTAAGGAAAATGAAGCTGAATCCTTAGAATGGCTCAGTATTTGCAGGCATTGAACAACTATTGCTTGTTACTTGTGGTGCACTAACACCCAGGGGAGCTGCTGGTGTATGATGGGCTCTCCTGCCGCTCCCATTGGTGACCCCCTCTATAGCTGGACCCCAAAAAAACAACCCACCAATGGCAACAATTTAAGCTTTAGTTACTTTAGTTTTTCTGGTAGTTATTTGCTCAAATATCTTGTGGAGAGAGGATAAGGGTTCAGAATAGGTAAACCTAGCAAAATGTCCCAGTCCTTCCTATGTCTTCAACAAAAAAAGGCTGGCGGCTCTAAATTCTCCAGTAGCAGCATCGCAGAAAGAACAAAGTTGTTGCCGGGGTAATGGAGACTCAATGCAACGCCCATGTGGTAGCAGTTATCCCCAGGCTCTCCAGGACACTTCCCAGCATAGCATACTCCTCTGAAGATTCTCCACACAAGCAGATATCTACTGTATCTGATTCTCCAGGCCCTAGTACAGACCAGATCACATTCCTTAGGCTCTGATTCAGGCAAAGACCTTTCTCTACAGTGACATCCTATCGAAACAGCAGCTTTGGAAAGAAGGGCCCTCAAGAAAGTTGCTTTAAATATTTATCCTCTCCTCTTATCTCATTTCACTGGCATTAAAACCCGACAATATTGGGCAAAGCAAATAAATAATTATAACTAATACATTGTTATTTCTCACACTAACTACTGGAGACAAGTCATCAGCAGCAGACATAATCCGTGTCCTAAGCTTAGGAGAAA